TCTAATGAGAGTGCAGTGCAGTGAGGTTTTTTTTCCCCCTCCAACATTTTTCTCTTCCATGCTTAGTGAATGTCATAGTTTAATTAAGAGATGTCAAAGGAATAGAAAGTTGCCCTGAGATAATCGTCGCCTGCTGCTAGATAAATGCTGAGGTGAAGACAAGTGAGCAGGGCTATCATGCAAATGATAAATTATGGAGAGGGGGCAGAGTTCAAAAATACAAGTGACAAAACTTTTATTTATAGGGGTAGGCTGACACAGCTCTCTCTGTCGCCCTTTGCAAATGGGCTTCTCTGTCCCTGTCTCTCTCCTGCAAGTTTTCCATGGGCTCGCCAACATCCCTCGTGCCAGCATTCAGACCCGCAGTGTCCTCTGCAGGCTGGTTCACTTTTCTCGCAGGTATCTCAGCTTCTAGCAGAGTGTCCAAGTCAAAACACACAGCTCTGACATTGCCCTCTTACTGGAGCAGAAGGTTACGTTAAATATGTCTAAGTAATCTTGTAAACTAATGTATGTATCCCTGAAATACTTATATATAGGGCCTGGTTTAAATTGTGATTTTGCATTTTTCATGAAAATCAAAAAATTAAATGATTTTCCACAAAAAATGCGATTTGCAACAAAATGCCATGATATGGCCACTTGTGGGGAACTCCTGTATCATGGCATTTTGTTGCAACAAGACAGAGCTGTGGGAGCACTGGTGCCGCTGTGCAGTGCCCAGTCTCTGTCCCTCCTCTGCCCCAGCCAGTGGCAGCAGTGGACGTGCACTGCCAGGTGGGTTAGGTAGGCAGGGGGATGGAAGTGCTCAGCGCTGCCTCAGTGGGGCTCTGGTGTGCAGAGCAGAGCCAGGGGCTGGAGCAGGGGCAGACGTAAGTGAGGCTGAGGGGCAGTGGCTCCCTACACTCCAGTCCCCCTACCTGCTTTGCAACCCTTTGTTGTTTGCGGGCTGCGGGCACCACAATGCCAGACAAGTTTGGCCAGGCTGGGGTCTGCCAGGTGCTGGGCACACTGCCAGGTGAGTCTGCCCCCAAGCCCCTTCCAGTGGTGGTGCTCCATGCCCTGGGGGAGAGATTTGCAGCATTTTGCGTGGACACTTTCTTGCCCCCACCTCGCCCTGCTGGACACTCCTGATCCCTGCCCCCAGCCTGGAAAAGGGGCTGGGCTCAGCCAGCCAGATGGCTCTAAACCTGCCCCCTCAGTTGATCAGTGGGCCTGGGTGTGAAAATGGCAGTCCCCTCCATGCTTGGGCCATGATACTAGAGAGCTGAGCCCACAATTTAAACCAGGCCCTACTTAACATACATCACTGAACAATGGAGCCTTTACAAAATAGTTCTAGCAGTCTTGATTCAAAGCCATTTAAGGCAGCAGCAAGGCTTTCCCAGACTTCAATGAGCATTTGTTTGGACCAAAACAAGGTTCTTGTCCTCATCACATGGGGCTACGGGGTCCTTTTTATTTGTAAAATAAAATCAGACTCCAAGCCTCTTCTCCTAATTGTAGGCCACTCTGTTTCTAGGGTCCCTTCTGGTTCCTGCTGTGTGATAGGAACAGTCTGATTCCAACCATCTAATCCTTTCTATCTTGCACAATGGCTGCTTTGTACTGCTGGCTTTTTTGTCCTGGCATTTTTGGTTCATGACCCAGGACTCTCAAATGAGGGGATTCCCTTCTTTATGCAGGACCTCCAAGTCGGTCTGGTAATTATCAGTCGCTACAGCAGGAGCAACTGCTCAGCTTTTTGCTTATTTTCCCTGCCTGGAGTCTCAAATCCACACCAGCAATTTAATCCCTTACTAGTTAGGTTTTATGGTGGGTTTCACCTGCCACACTGTCCAGTTTCTCAGCCAGTATGGATGACCCAGTACAACCTATGGTCTTCCTGTGCCTTTCCAGATCCCAGTAAAGCAGTATTTCTGCCAAAGACACTGTTCAATGAATTCCTTGTACAATACTGTGTAGCTGTCAAAAGAGGGACGCTCAGGAGCTTTCAAGCACAGCAAGGAAAGCCTAAACTCTGCAGAGACTGTCAGTACTATCCCACTTGATACCTGCCCAGAACTGTACTCTTCCCATGTGGCATTCAACACTTCTGTGCCTTCTCCAAGGATGGCTGCACATCTGCAGGCCACAGAATTTTTCAGAGATCATTTGCTCAGGCAGAAGGCATTGGGTTTCGTGTGATGGAGGCTGTTGGAGCAGCACACCCATTTTTTTTATTGCCCTACCATTAGGCAGTTGCATTTTTGAACAGACACAGAAACAGTCTTGCTACGCACTTGATCAAACACAAGATTTCATTTCTGTGACTCCTGAAGGGGACAAGTCACACATCAACCTCCTAGGCGAATGTTTCATAATATGCTTTGCAAAGAATAATGTGAAATACAGAAAGAAGATAGTAGAGGAGGCAGAAAATGAATTCTTTCACAGTGAAAGATAATGAACAATTGAGCTAGAAAACAAAAGAAATTAGAAGATGTAGGGATTTCCTTGGCTTTCCTCAACAAATACATCAATCAGCTAATCAGCATGAACCAGGCTTTTTAAAGTATTAGAGTGTTTTGTCATTTCAAAAATACTTTTTTCTGATTCAGATTTTTTAAAGGAACCCCATCTTGTTTATTTGCTTTTTATTAGTAAGCTGATTATCTGACAGATTAATTTTGCTATGAGACATGCTACAGAGAAAAGGCATATGATTTCTCCTATTCAAATCTGTGCTGTTCATTAAAAGTAAGGACTTTTGAAGGGTACAACTTTCCCTGAAGAGGGGATATTTATCATAGCTGAAAATCAAAAAGAGATGGCTCTATGCATGATTTTGAAAGATATCACTGTACAAAAATAAGATCTACTGTATCCAATATCCTCTGGGACAGTTCTCCTTTGTCCTCAAACACATTAATTGACCTCAGATAATTCTGAGCTCACCTCAGATAATTAATTCATATTGCACTTACGTGAATGTGTGGAGAACCACTGACTAGCTAGCTAACCACTTGTGTAAAATCTGCAGCAAGATGAATTGTTTTGGTTGGTGAAAGACACCAACACACACACACACACACACACACACACTCTTTGCCGAACAGACTTCTTTTAGCAGCACTCCAGGGACCGTCCACATTAAGGCTCAATTTGGGAATTTGCTTAGTATGGATATCTTTCTTTGACATCTTGACTGTTCTGGGTGACGTACCGGACAAGGGTGGTCAGCAGGCTTTATGCCTTTTGGGAAATTTTTCTTTGGAAAGCTCTAGTGCTACTGTGCTTTGAAATGGGAATTCAAAATTTGTTTGATGAATAAAGGCAGGTCTTTATATCATGGGGATTTCTCTTGCTAGCCTTGCAAATTATCAGGGCAGGGGGTAGGGGGCTGGACTCGACGATCTTCTGAGGTCCCTTCCAGTTCTAATGTCTATGAAATCTATGAAACAGCCACCTTAAATTGCCTACATTATATGTCTCTGAAAACTTGCAGTTCATGCAGGCTTGGTAGAGACTTGCTACGTTCCCCAAAGATTATCTGTGTACTAGGCATGTTCAAGCCCAGGACTCAGCAAGACTTCTTCCTGTAATTGCAGCTCTTGGGTGCTGTGGTCTGGGCAGGGTTTGGGCACCTGAACTGAAAGCCAGGAATTTCTGTCTTCTGTGCTCTCAGTGATTCCCTGCTAGGCCAGTTTGGCTTGGTGGAGAAAGATGCTTAATTCAAATACAGAGGGAACAAAAGCTGAACCTATGTGGAGAGGCAGGAGTTAGATTTAAACAAAAGGTGTAAAGCAATTATTTGGGCCCATGGGCCACACAGAGAGTTTGGATGAGCTGTTGTGGGCTGGGTCAGCACCATCCCAAACCCCATACCCCATGCAGCAGCTTATCAAAACTCCCTAAGCAGCCCCATCCCATCCGCCTGGCTGCATGCCCTGCCCAGGTGGTTCCCGGCCAGTCTCCAGGGAGTTCCTGGGATCACAGGGAAGTGAGTGTGTGGGGCCGGAGCAGAGCTGGGATCTGCTCCCCAGGTGGCCCTGACCGCAGAACTGGTGCCTGTCACAGGGGCGTGTGGGCAGCGGATCATGGCTCTGCTCTGCGCTTGGCCAGGATGGGGCTGGGATTGGGGGAGCAGCATGCAGGAGAGGGACAGGCAGGCAGGTGCCCAAGTGCACCGCCCCAAGATCCCGGCCTCATCCCACTTCCAAACACCACTCCCCACCTGCCCGTGAAGATGAGCCAGGGTGAGCAGGCAGCAGGGCCAGGTCCAGTGGTGGCAGCTGGCAGGAGCCACTGCTGCCAGGAAGTGAATCCGACAGCCACTTCTCCCCAGCCTGGAGGCAGCAGGACCAGCCACATGCACCATAACCTTGGCTGCCCCCGGCTCCTGGGCTAGGTGTTACCTGGGCTGGATAAAATCCCTTGGCAGCGCGAATCTGGCCCACGAGCCATATTTTCCCCATCCCTGGTCTAAAGGCATAACCTATAACTGGATGAAAAGTGCTGGAATGGCTAGGCAAAGGTCTTGGACAGAACAGGACAGGATTTCAGAGGGCAAGATTTGACCTTGTTGGGCAAAGAGAATAGGAAAGGGACACGAAATCTGAGGAATAGACACAGGGACTGGCTTGGTGAAAACAGGAGTGGGGCAAGGACCCAGAGGTGGGGAAGATACAGGCATGGGACATGGACTGCATAAAAGGGAGAGAGCAGAAGGGGTCAAGCTTTGGGGATACTGTTCCCCTAGAACAAAGTTTCCTTCAGAGTCTGGTATGGCAGCTAGTGAACTCCCTTCCTTCTCTCTCCCCCAGCACATTTTCTAGTAGTGATCAACACAGATGACTACCATCAGTTACTTTGCTATTTCCAATCATAGTGGATCTAACCCTGCATAGTAGAAAAGACTTGGAAAACAGTACTAATTCTGTCTTCCAAGCAGTGCTTGACTAATAATAAGGCCTCAGGCCAGTCATTGGAAAAGGAGGACAAAACAAAATACTAAATACCTGCTCATTACGTGAACGCCAGCTATTCAGCGAACTCAGTGAAGCAGAGGTCCTGTGGAAAACACAGCATATTATCACATAATAGAAAACCATTTTGTACGTACACAGGGAGAAGCCAAATTAAGGTGGCACAAGCATTCCTAACTTTTGAGGGCTAGACTTTGCAAGCTTAATAATGTTCTTTTGTCCTAGTTGTTATGTGAATAATAAGTATTTGGAGCTCTGTTGTACTAGATTTGGACACTTGCACACAAGAAAAGTATAAAAGTATACTTTTCAGTATAAAAGTAAGGCAAGAGAGATCAGCTGGATATAATAGAGAAGTTGGGGAAGGCACAAGGTGTTGTTAGATCAGTTTTCTGCAAGCCTGTTAACAGAAGAGTGAAAGAGAGGTGGTCTCGCCATTGTTTACAAGAAGCCCCTTCCACACAGCTGGGGCAGTAAGGAAAAACCCACCACGATTGTTGGTTGAAGCTGGAGTAGAAAAATGGAGCCCAGATTAAACTACTGCTGGAATTTCCAAAGGCAACTTATTTTCATCTCAGTCTGTGGCCAGAATCATCATGGGACCTCGGTGTCTGGTTAGGCAAGGCATGATTTAAAAAAAATAAATAATAAGGAACTTCCAGCTGTACAGCCCCTTGCATCCCGTGTGGACAAGCTGATGCAAATGACCATGGCATGCAAAGATTGCAAATGGTTTCTGAAACTGCTGAGATGAAGGGCACCACACCCACAACATATCATTTACTGCCAAGTCCATGCAAATGAATACAAAGCATAACAGGGGTGTCAAACTCACCCGGCCCCATGGGATAGATGAGTGTCGGGGCTGGTCTGTGGGCTGGATGGGGTTGTGTCAGAGCCAACGCATAGGGCCGCACCGTGTGCTGCGCATGCCCTGCACTGGTGCCCCTGCGCATGGTCAACTGATGCGTCTCCAGCAAAACCAAGGCAGTGATTCTCCCACTCTACTCAGCACTGGTGAGAGCACAGCTGGAGCACTGCGTCCGGTTGTGCGGGTGTAGGTTGTAGCCGTGTTGGTGTAAGGACATAGGCAGACAAGGTTGTGGTTGTGGGCACTGCACTTTAACAAGGACGTGGTCACGCTGGAGAGAGTCCAGAGAAGAGCCACCGTATGATCAGACTTGTGCGGCAAGCCCTACGGGGAAAGGCTGAGGGACCCGGGACTCTCCAGCCTGAAAAAAAGGAGGCTGAGCAGGGACCCGGTAGCAATTTACCACTACATCAAGAGCTCAGCGAACAACGTCACCAGGGCACCACTGGGGAAAACTAGGAGTGATGACCACCCACTCCTGAAAGATCATTTCAGGCTCAACATTGGGAAAACCTTCCCGGTCAGGGTGTCCAGACTGTGGAAGAAGCTCCCCCCAGACGCGGTGCAAGCAAGAGGAGACTGGGCGCTCACTTGCCCCCACTTCTCTTCCCTGCTTGGCGCAGGGGCTGCACCACCTGTCGACATCCCCGCCAGCCCCTCGCA